TGAGCTAATAGGATATGAGCCAACAGTAAAAACACTGGCAAAAATATATAGTGTAATACTGGAGAGGCAAGGGACATCCTTTGGCCTTTCTGAAACTGACTTAAACAACGTTCTTCCATCCCAGCAATGACTTGGATTAATTAGACAGGCAGTTTCTACAAAGATACTGTTAAAAAGAACTGACAGAGGGATGCTACCCTGAAAGGGCAAGGTGAGTTCTCCCAACCCTAGCTTGGACCAGAATCTCAGTAGGATTTATGTGTTGTCCTTAAACAACAGATGCCTGCTCACCTCGATGTTAAAGCATTTCCATGTTAAAGATGACATTTGGTGTAGGAATGGTTGGTTTGTAAAATGCAGAGCAATATTAGTCACTCAGCATTGACCATACAGATCTTTTGATCTAAACATATGTACAGAGTTGGCAGAAATTCCCACATGTGGCCCACATCTCTGGTGACAGTGTTTGTAGTGATGATGTTGGTGAATGTGCAGTGATGATCATGATGAAGAAGAAGACCATGGTGAGGATCCATTTAAATGAGTGGTAGAGGTTCACCTACACCAACCTTGCTGTCTGCTCAATTTGAACAAAGCATTGCCTATATTGCTGTTATATTGTAGGAGAGAAGACTGTTCCCAAACCCAGCAGCCAATGCCCTGATATCTTTCAAAGGATGGCTGTTCTTCTGCATGTTGCCTTTTGGTTGTTCCTTACAGACTCCAAGCACACTTGCACTTTCTGCATAAGTTCTCTCCATGTTTGCTTTCCTACCTCTGCTGCTTGAACAGGGTTTCAGAGAGGTTAGATGCCAGTTTACTCTGGGTTAGAGACTTCCCGTCTGTCCTTTGCTGTGTTTACTCAGAATGAGATCATGTTCATTCAGTTCACTGTTGAGAGTATGTGAGTGTGAGCATGTAAATGGCATTTATAATTAAACCTCGACCATAAACTGACTTCAGAAACTGAGAGCAAAATTGGGGCAGGGGAGGGGAAACCACATATTCCTGTGGCTTTTCTTTTTTTGTTTTGTAAAAAAAAAAGTGCTTTTCTTAGAATCTGGAGAGTGCGTCTGACTCCATCCTCAGCACATCCTGCAGTGGGGAATCCAGCTGTGTTCCAGTAAATGCTCAGCAGCACAGTACGTACACACAGGGCAGGAAAAAGACCCCTACTGTGAAATCAGTGCATTGTGAGTGTACGTTCCAGTGCACAGCAGAGCCCGCTATACATGTGGGTTGTGGGCCAGCCTCACAGTAGTGCTTATTGTACCACGTCATCTTCCCATATCAGCTGCTGTCTCTCTCTAGGCTGTTTCCCTTGGCAATTCTCACAGACCCCTGCCATTCTCAGGCCACAATAGTGTTTCACTTCTTTATTGTGCTTCTCAGGCCACAAGGGCATGCAAAGAATCCCACGACAAAAATGATAAAAGCATTCTTTTAAAAAGAGATCAAAAAACCATTTAAAATTTTAGAGTCATCCTTTCAAAAACACCACAAACCATCAGTTTAAAAATCTGTTATAAAGAGTGAAGAACACACAGTGTAGTTTTGGTTGCCAGCTGGAAGCTTGGCATGATGGATTGAACATTTCAGATACAGATTTGCATTGAAGGAGCAACAAGGCACTTCTCTCAGTATGTGGATCATTTCTTACACGCAAGGATACATGCAAAATGCTGTAGTGACCAGGGCTGGCCCATGACATTTTGCAACCTGAGATAAAGAATGGGTTGTTCCATGTACAGAATCTGGCGATACTAGTAGATGCATCTTATTGCAACAGTAAGCGCTGGACAGCATTCTTTCATCATCAGCAGCATCATCATTATTTATATCCCACCCCATCTCCCTGGAAGGACTCGGGGCAGCTTACAGCATAAATAAATGCAATGAATAAGATATACAGAATAAATGAGGCAAATAATAACATGACCAATCAATATAAAAGAGCAAACAAGATAAAACAAAATTGGCAACTTAAGCAATAAGCAATATAAAACATTACTTAAAGACAGTTAGCACACCTTAAAGCAGAGGTTCTCAAAGTGTGCTCTTGGGAGCCTTAGGGCTTTGTGAAACATACATAGGGGCTCTGTGGTTCCCTCCTCCCCTCCCTCCTCTCCCTCCAAGCTTTCCTTCTTCTTTCCTGCTCTGCTCCCTCTCCCACTTCCCTCGCTCCAAAAGCTTTTTTTCCTCACCTTCCTTGCAGCCCAGGTCCTTTGCCCCAGGCACCTTTCTTGTTTCCAAACCCCTATTTCCCTCCCACCACTCAGGTGGTGCTTTGATTGCATTGAACTGGATGGCCCCTGGGGCTTCTGCTATTGTTGTTATTACAAAGGTTGGATGGCCAATCATTGGGAGTAGTTTGATTGTGCTTTTCCTGCATGGCAGAAGGGATTGGACTGGATGGTTCCTGTGGTCTTTCATTTGTCAAAAAGTTAGTTCATGCCTTATATGTTTATACACTATATATAATATAATATATAAACATATCTAGGGGCTCCACAAGAAACTTTGCTTCAAAAAAGACTCCATTGTTGAAAAAGTTTGAGAACCCCTGCCTTAAGGGGAAGGATAGATGAGAACATGCAGGACTATCATCAGGCAAAAATAAATAACGATAGACTCAGGAAGACAAACAGTTGCGTGGACTGCCACCCTCATTTCTTTCCAACACTGCCCCCCCTTTTTTGGTGATTCACTCTGCCTAATGACAGGAATAGCACTGACATTGATGTTACATGGAAGATTTACTGGGCAGAATGGGAAAATTGCTTCTCAAGTTAGGATTAGTCCCATTTTTCTATTTTGCACTGTCACTGAGTGCTGATTGTAATGAGAAATGTAAACAGATGTAATAGACAACTCATATTGTTTTTCAAATAATTGAAAATTATGAAAGAGCATTAATGGATTTGATCTCAGCAGAGTGGTGGAAATCATAGTTTGGGGAAGTTAATTTTTGGATGACACCTTCTAGGAAGGATGACACTTTCTAGTTGTGGGATTCTGTTGGCTGCAATTCAGAAAAGCATGTTCCCAAGCTGTGGTTTGGACATAGGCTAGAAGTTAAAGACTGCAAAATTAGAGTCCTAATTGATCAGGAAAAATGCCTGTTTAAATGTTGCTTTTTGTCCATTTAGGAGTAAACAGTTAATTCTTTACAGAACCTGGCCCAAGATTATAAGAATCACATCCCATATGCATTAGTAAAAGAAACTGTTTCAGCACCAAAAAGAGCAAAATTGGCTACTAGGCATTCCCCAGCCTTCCCACTTCCTCTCTTCATTATATTAAAACACAGAATAAGTGTTTCATCAGATTCTGTTCCCTTAATATTGTATTATGCATTGCTCTGTAGAGGTAAATGAAAATGAATCTGTCTAGAGAACACAGCCTATATGTCTCAGAATGAAATACATCCCTTATCCATAAGAAAATGGACTTCAAGTTATTCCAGAGAGAAGCTTGGCTTTCATAAAGATCTCAACCCCCAAATGAACAAAGTAGGGGAGAGACATGGGATATGTAGAGCAGAGAACATGGACATAAGATTTAGTAGTCATACAAAGGCACAGCTATAAGATCAAACATTTCACACTGATATTTCCTTTTGGGGGGAACATAGGTCAATGAATTAATTCTCAGCAAGTCAATCCACACTATTTTTTCTATAGTTTGGACTAGCTCTTTGGCACAATGGACTTTGTTCTTTGCACAGTGCACCACACTATTTTCCATGTACCTTAACATCCTAAATGTAGAAGGAATGGTCAAACATAGAAAAGCCTTTCCCTTACATCTAGAGAAAGACCATGTAGCATTTTCCAACATGTGACAAACAAGCCATCATACTATATAGAACACAGTGTCTGAACCAATTAGCTGCTTGCCTCTTGATAAGCAAAAGGATGTTTCTTTGACAAGATACTGCTGAGGGGAGCATGGGAAAGATGTGAAATACTATTAGTCTCATGTTTCTCATAAAATGGTGTTAGGATCTATGGAATCTCAACAGTGACAGTATAGTTTGTGTGAGAACATGTTCTAAACTTTACAGGAGCTATCCAAAGTGCTGAATCCTAGCCCCCAAAATGGGTACATTGCTTTGGATAGCGCCTTTACATTACTGACTGATAATCCAGAATAACAATACTGCCCCATGGGAACCAGAGCTACTGCATTTCAAAACAGCTTGGGTGTGATGTTTGCTTTCGATGCTACCACATAAAGGACAGGACTTCAAGACTGCTAAATTGACATGTAGAGATATACCTGTATTCAGTAACATTCTTTACTTGGCTGAATCTCACTAACTCTACTCTAGTGCTCATTGTGGTGACTGGTGGCTTCTATATCAGTGAGGCAAGGTGAATCTTTTATGGGCTTCATTCTGAACTTTAAAAGATATGTTCAAGATACTGGATGCTGAAAATAATTTGGGGACTGAGGTCAGTGCCTTAGGTTGCTACTTTAAATTGAAACCTGGAGTGGATTCACTGCTCTACTGACATGGAAGGCAGCAGCCATCCACAGATGTTCAGATTCTGTGACTGCATGCAGGGGAGGTGCAACTTTTTCCCATTGATAGTAGGGGTCTTCAACCTTTCGCTTCTTCCTGAAGCCATAATGCAGATCATGAGACAAATGGGAACTTAAGTGCAGAGGTACAGTCTGCCTTCAAGTCTATATATGTGTACACACACACACACACAAACATACAGGAGTCTCCATCCATTTTTCTGTTGGCACTTATATCTCTTAAGTTATATGTCTTAAGGGGAGGCGATTTGGCCAGCAGCTCATGCAGGACAATAATGAGCCCTTAAAAAAGCACTCTCAGTCATTTCACAGGATCTCAGCACAAAAGAATTCTGTGGTCATTTAGGAGATTATTCAGCATGTTATGTCACTGTGAAAAAAGTCACCTCCCACAGATGGTCTGTGGATAAGTTATACGGTACAAAGTGTGGAAGGCATAGATGAAAACTTACTGTAGCTGTCATTCCGGTCCATGGTACCATCCACTTTTCCATCTGGAAGGATTCTCAGAAAGTGGCCTCCATTGCTGCAATACAGGAGTTTGGGCTTCTTGTAATTCTCCACTGGAAGAGCAAACCTTTCTGTCAAGGCTGTGAATGTTGTTATTTCACCTTCAGCCATTTTCTCCTCTCTGTATGTCAGGGTTTCAGTACAAATTCAGACAACCTATAGCAAGGACAACAATGTTGGTAATACATTGAATGCTACAGAATACTCAAAGAAGGGAGAAAAGGCTAATTTTAAATCATATGGGGATTATTTTATAATGCAGTATAAAATAAATAAACACAGCTATCTAACCATGAATTTAACTCCCCAAAGTGCTATGTATTCAGGTTTGGTCCCCACAATAAACAAGCTAAAAAATAAAAAAAAAATAAAACAAAGCAAAAGGCAACAAAAGTTCTCTCACCTTGATAAAAATAACATAACTTAGATTCTAGCTGTTTCATCATATTAATCTTACTAGAACATAAAAGAAGCAGCAAAATAATATAATAAATAATAACAGCTTTATTTTTATACCCTGCCTCTATCTCCTCAAAGGGACTCGGGGTGGCTTACATGTGGCCAAGCCCTACAGTGCAGTTAAAACATAAAACATTAAAAAGCATATCAACAAAATAATAATAGAAAACAATATAACAAGATAAAAACAACAACATTAAGCAATATATAAAAGAAACACCAGAGCCAAAATCATATGTACCAGGTTCATTAGGCTGAGATGTTAGGGATGAGATGTTTGTTAGGGATGAACAGAATTAATTCCAAACCATCATGTATAAGGGATTGAACAATAAGAACCAACTTAAAGGCCTCGTTTGGTAAAGAAAAGACAGACATAGCCAGTGCCAGGCAAATCTCTCTGAGGAGCCATTTCCAAACTGGATGCATCCACAGCAAATGAATAGACCCCCACTACACATCATCTTATTGGTGTTACCAAAGGAATAATATCTGCTCTGAGATGTTATTTTCTTTGGGAGAGTGCTTTCATTCTTGCTTCTCTTTTGCCCTAATGTGTGTATTTTGAAATCAATGCACTACTCTTTTGCTATGTCTGCCATGTTCCACTTCTTGCTGTTTTGACAAAGTATGGTGGTGCCAAAGCCATCACAAATAATGGGAATGGTTAAGAAAAAGCAGGAGACAGGTAATTCACGAGGGCAATGTGGGGAATCCTTTCCACCTCTAAGGAACCAGCTGGGGCAGACACAAAGTGGGTTCCTATGTCAAAGGCAGCAACCGACAAATCAGAGGCAGATACACTGGGAGCTGCATTTTTCTCAGCACTTTACAGCCCCTTCTTTCCCTCCAGGACAGAATAAAATCAATGCAGACTCATTCATTACTTTTGCGGAGAGCGAGGCCAGGAAGCTTCCTGTATGCATTTGAAGGTCTAATGACCCAAGAGCTTCTTAGAATCGTTTTAGCAGAACTGCTCAATGGGACATTTGGAAATGATTTAGTTAATTCCATGTTGCTCTACTTCTTTAAGACCAGGCACTATTTTTAGAACAGCTTCTTGCTTGCCAGCCGTCTTTTGACTCCATAAGAGATGTTGAATGAACACAATTTTCCGCTCCCATTGTCCTGATGTGCTAGACGGGAACGCGGCTGTTCTCATACTGCACACAATTCTGCTACTCGTGGCCTTGCTATTATACTTTTGGCAACGAGGGACTAAATTTTACGGGAATGAATGTGTGTATGTGCACACACAAGAGGGAGAGGATGCAAACCAATGAAAACGTGAGAGGACTTGTTTTTTCTGGTTAAAGGCCTAACCTCTTAATGATTTTTTTTTGTTGGGAATGAGGTAATTTCATCCAGAATGACCCTCTTTCCAACACTGCACAACAAATGGTCCAATGTTAGAAATGTGGCAAGGAAAAGTTTCTGTCCATTGCTTGAGTTGGGGCTGTCATGAATGAAACAAAGGTTCAGGAATATCAGAGCATTCAACAACACATTCATTGACTTGAACTCTCTATTTTTACCTCTTTCTCATTAATAAGTAGGGTATCATTACAAAATTTGCATAGTACATGCTAGGAACAATGGCACTGACACCCAAATAGGTGTATGTGGCATTGTATTACGTTCAAACATATACGTATTAGGCATCCTAATTAACTTGACCGCATTGAGTGGCTTCAAAAATTCACCATATTGTTGTAAATGTATTACGGTGTATTTCTTGTTGATCAGGCAAAATGATCATTCTTCAAATTATACATATAATCGAAAACTTTCAGTTGCATCTTTAAAACAACCCAACCAGGTGCAAATATGAAATAGGGATGTTCATGGTATCTGCTTGTACTGGATTTCTCCAGAAGTGTGAAGATTCCACATTATGAGAAGTGTTTAAGATAATGATTATATTACAGTGAACACATTTCAAAATGTGTGTTATATTTACATTTCTTTATTGATTTTGAACATTATGCTTACTTTTTAAACATTTGATTTTGGTTAAATTAATTTTTGCTTATATTTTGTTTTATTTTGTAATTTAGAAAAGTCAGATTGAGCCTCCATTTATTTATTTATTTAAAACATTTATATTCCACCCTTCTCACTCCGGTCATCTGGAGAGGCCTTGCTCGTGATCCCACCCGCGTCGCAAGCGTGTTTGGTGGGGACGCGAGACAGGGCCTTTTCTGTGGCGGCCCCCCGACTTTGGAACGCCCTCCCAAAAGATCTCAGAYAGGCCCCTACTTTGGCAGTTTTCAGAAAGAATTTAAAAACTTGGCTRTTCCGATGTGCCTTTTCAGATTAGGAATCCCCRTSACCAAGTCCTAGAAGCACTTTAGTAGAATTAAGATCGCTGYASACYGYACTTAYTTTATAATCCTAYATTCCTCCTGCCACTTCRGCASTTTTAATTCCTGTACCCACTGCTCTGGCCRGCCCAGTTTTAAAGTGTCCTGATGTATTGTTACTGTTATTGTTTATTTTGCTTAACTGTTTTGATTTGCTTCTKGTATTGCTGTTGTATTATGTTCTGTTGTACTGTGTTTTGGGGCTTCGGCCTGTGTGAGCCGCATCGAGTCCTACGGGAGATGCTAGCGGGGTACAAATAAAGTTAATAATAAATAATAATAATAATAATAATAATAAGGGGACTCAGGGCGGAGTACAGCACACACACACACACACACACACACACACATATGGCAAACATTCCATGCTGGAACATAAATATACACAAGTTGATTAATGCCCTTTTTTAAGTTCCTATAGTAGGATAAACACTATAGATCTGCATTTTAAACATGTATTATTATACCATGCATATAATCCATTGTTATCATTTAATAAGCACCCATTCTAGCTGTAGGAATGAAGTGGAATAGCATGGTTGTTTGAATGTCTGAATTAAAATGGAATGGAATAGAGAGAACCCATTGACTTCTTCTGGGGAAACCAATCTATAAACATCTGTGTGAACCAGAGTGACCTAGACCAGCAGACAGTACGCAGAAGGCAAATCAAAAGCCAACATTCTCCCTGTATTTCACAGCGCCTGGCAAATCCGTGCTCCCTTCAGTTCTCATCTGTCTAAATCAGCATTCCTTGAACTGGGAAAATTTGAAACACATTTTTTCTTGATAGAAAACTGCGGGGCACAGATCAATCACTCTTTCTACCCCAAAATTGCTTACTTTTAGTTCTAAGTAGAAACTGAGCTCGAAAAAGTTATATTTCTTGAACTACCAGCTCCCCAAACCACCCACTGACCATACTGGCTGCTGGGTGCTGGTAGTTCAAGTAATAATCTAAAACAGTATTTGAGCAGGAATGGATTCTCTTGGTTTTGCTCTTTTCCTCTTTGGTTACAGAGACACAGCAGAATGACATATCAAAAGGTAAAAGTTTCCCCTTGACATGAAGTCTAATTGTGACCAACTCTGGGGGGTTGTGCTCATCCCTATTGATCTACTCACATTTGCATGTTTTCGAACTGCTAGGTTGGCAGAAGCTGAGGCTAATAGCGAGAGCCCATCCCACTCCCTGGATTCGAACTGTGTTTCAGTCAGCAAGTTCAGCAGCTCAGCGGTTTAAGCTGCTTTGCCATTGGGGGCTCATAGAATGATATATATTTACAGACTAAAAGTGGGAAAGGAATCACACACACATGCAAAGCGCAATCTCCTTTTTGAGTAGGTTCACTTCACAATAGAAAATAGCTGTTTCTTTAATTTACTATACAAGTAGATATGTATTAACTCAGAAGGAATCCAGGCAAGTTTCATAGTTCTTATTCCCACAGAATAGAATGTATAGCATTCCAAGTTAGGTACCATGATGTGGCACCAGTTTTAAATACTGCTTTAAACTGTGAGCTAGCCAGGTCTTTCTTTTTGGGGGTGAGGGTAAAGTTTTGTAAATAAATATATAAATAAAAATGTAATGTTCGTTTGCGGGATTAACATAACTCAAAAACCACTGGATGAATTGACACCAAATTTGGACACAATACACCTATCAGGCCAATGAGTGACCATCACTCCTAAAAATACTGAAAAACACAGCAGAAGGGACTTCAAATCCAAAAAAGCAAAAAGACGCTACAGCACCTGCACATAAACAACTCTCCCAGCAAACAAACCACACAATAGCATATCCACACTCTCTTCTGGACTACGGCTCCCAACATCCCCTAGACCAGGCCTTTTAGGAGAGGAGGATGCTCCAAATGCATTGCTTCCAAGGTGCAAGCTTTCTTCTCCTTGGATTTCTTTGAGAGCGTCCCAATCCTGCATATTTCCAATTTCCTATTCCTGGACTGCAACTCCCAGAAATCCTCCAGATAGATAGATTAGATCGAGGTAGGTAGGTAGATAGATTGATCAGGAGGACTGCTGGGAGTTGCAGTCCAAGAATAGATAGAGAATGAAGAACGGCGAGAAAGAGGAAGGGAAAGAAAAGGGGGGGGGGAGGGAAGAGGAAGAGAAGGAAGGAAGGAGAGAAGGAAAGAAAAAAAGGGAAGGAAGGAGAGAATGAGAGGAGGAGAGAAAGAGGGAGGGAAGGTTGGCCACAGCAACGCATGGCAGGTACAGCTAATTATTAATAACAATGTAACAATGAAAGGTGATGAGTTATCTCAAATGTAACTAGTTACAAACAGCAAGCAACTTGTAATTCTGCAAAAA